AAAAAATTTAAAGACGTTTCATTTTTAATTTATGGATAAAAATCAAAGGTTTTTGTTGTCAGAATTATCAACAAAGCCATTGTTAGTAATATATATTTATATTCTGTTTTTTAAGTTTTTGTTGTGTGTGTGTGTGTGTGTGTGTGTGTGTGTGTGTGTGTAATCTCTATACCCAGCGTGGGGCTCAAAGTTATGACCCCAAGTTCAAGAGTCACATGCTCTTCCAAATGAGCCAGGCAGGTGCCTCTATATTTATATCCTTGTCATCATTCCAACTGTTTTCTGATTGGACATCTATTACATGTATGTGTATACACTGTACATATATCTTACGTATGTATAAAGTATATTACACACTTTACACATGCTGTACCTAACCCAATGAGCAAACTGGTGTCACCATATTCAGAAGGATTAAGCCAATTGCCAAAGGACAAAGATGGTGTGAAAATACCCGTGAAACCTGAGCTTCCTTTATTGCAAGACCAGTTCTCTTTTCCATATGCCAGCCCCCGCCTCTCAGCCATGCATCTGAAGCCAGAAACTGTCCATCACACCCAGGTATCAGACATAAGCCATTTCATACATCTTCTCCTTTTCAAAACAGAAATCAAACAAATGGCACGTGCGGCTTTGGCTGGGTCATTTCAGCAGTCAATCGTCAAATCAAGGATACTCTACAAATTCCACTGGAGACTTTGTCAGTTGCTCGAGTCCTTTGGTTTCCACGAAGGAAGACATTTCAAAACTTCTATTTCTTTCTGAGTTAACGACAACAAAAAAGGGTGAGGAGTAAAATTCAACGGTACACGTTATAACGTGTAAGATGGAGGCATATGTTCAGTGAAGTTAGGGCGATGAATCCTCATTGTATAACTTTATATATGTATTTCTTCAGTCAAAGCTGAGTCTTCTAAGAAGCTGTCTCTTCTAATACTACCTGAGTCAGATTTGCTTATGGTCATGCAAGTTAGGGATACAATGGCATTAGGATGGGGAAATGGATTTTAGATATGGCTAGAGTGGTCAATGAAAGCTATTTCAAAAGACGAAGAACCCTGGGGGACTCTTTTGTTCTAAATCCATTCAGATTGGTTTTCTCTCTTTTACACCCCACCTTGTCATTGCCCCAGTTTGTACACACCCCCTCAGTTCAAGTAACTAATGTGACATTAAGATTAGGGTATTTCAAAGCAGAAGGATCCTTGGACATTTTCCAGTCTGATGGCCTCATTTTCAGATGGATAAGAGAGGCTGGAGAGATGAATGTGTTAGATATCTCAATATAATACAAAAGCAATATTTTGAAAGTGGAATCCAAACTTCTGATTAGAATGGAAGAAACAAAACAAAGTTATTTTAGTTTGTAAAGTCTAAGAGTCCAACAGCTTCTCTGTCCTCTTCCCAACTAAAATTCAAAGTGTTACACACAGTACTGAGGCAAATGTCATTCAGAGTGGTTGCACAGTTCTCAGCTTTTAAATGGAGTTCCCTTTGATGCATTTCCCCCTCTTTGATGCCCACTTTCCATGAATAAAGCCTCACTGTTCTTTCTAATATAACCTGGAGTCTTTTATCCATCTATCTCCTTATCTTCCCCAATTTTTAATCGGCTCTAAAGGAAAACCTTACTTCTCTTATTTTGGCCCATCAAAAACCTATTTTCATTTGACTAATTATTTTAAGCATTACTGCTAATTAAAATTAAGTCAATTCAGTAGGTGCTTTGTAACATACGTGCAGTATTATTTTTTTTTGATGTACAGTATTCTTTTAAAAAAATAAAGTGATACAATGATATCAAACACAAGGAGAAATGGACTTGTTTGTAAATCTTTGGTCCATGCTGTTGTTACCAGGTTTGAAGGATGTTCTTTCTCAATCTGGCTAGTTGTTTAGGAGCTTTTGACTCATGAATTAGGCAAACTCATTTTACAGCCAACAAAAACTATAGAAATATAAAAATTACTACTTTAGGATGTTTCAAATTGAACAACTTGTGGTAAGATACACCAGCAATTACAGAAATCAAAAAAAATGTTGGAATATTTATATATAAACTGTATTAGAAGTTAAATTCCTCATTGTAGAGATACAGGTACCATATACTATAAAGTTGAAGCTCTTTGGGCAAAATTATACAATTATACATTAGTGTGTACGGTAGAAGCTTAGATTTTGATGTATCTATAAAACTATGCCTTATAAGAGGCTGCTATATTTCAGCAGAAATTCTGCCTTTAAAAGCACACTCATAAAAGCAGCTAAAATGTCTCAAGGATTCTCTTAACCTGATAGCATCTTACATTTCATACAAAAAAAAGGGGGGGCAATTTCACAAAAGAGCTCTTTTCTTCAGGTGGGGGAAAGATGCTATTTCTTTTTTCTTTGCATCCAGTATGGATGTGTAGTTGGAGGAAGAGAGAACACAAAATGATGTGAAGTTAATGTTATAAAACAGGCTGGACAAATGGAATGTGTGTGAAGTGATTGATTTGGTTCTATTTTTCGTTATGAGGGTTAACCACGTCTCTGGCTGCTCCCCGCTCCCCCCTTCTGGGGGGCGGGTAGATAGTTTATTTCAACACTGTCTCTTATATAACGGAAGGAGCCCATTATGTTGTTGAACAAAAACAACTGTGAAACTCTCAATCAGCTGTACTCTGGCCTAATACCTTTCAGATAACTGTGTGTGGCCTACAGCCCCATGACGAATTTTGGGGTAACATCATGGAATACTTTCTTACATGGTTTTAATCATCAACTCAGGCACATATTCAAGACTTCACAGAATAGTTCTGTTAAGGGTAACATTCTTTGTTCTAACTACCTTGTATTTAAGATATATTCTTTATAGTCTCCCCCTCTCTCTGCCCCACCTCCACTTACTCCCTCTCTCTCAAAAATAAATGAACATTAAAAAACAATTTAAGATACACTCATTATATGTTACATTAGAGGTTCTTCTCCAGGGAAAACTTACTTTTTGAAGTTTCAAAGGACTCAAACTTGACTGGCTGAATATAGTTCACCAGGTTAGACATCTCTTCTGTGGCCATGGCCTCACTGCCAGCAGTACCCTGGAAGCAGAAATAAAAATGACATTCCCAGAGTCAGCATTACATTACCAAGGATTATGTTCCCAGGGCAATGATCAAGCGGCCCACGAGAGAGAACACCATCCCTTCTCTTCTGAAAATGATTATCGCCAATAGGAAAATTCACCACAGGAGAAAATTTACTCGTATGTTAGGCAAATATGGGGTGGCATACGGGGTGTTTAGGGGCAGCTCCCAGTGTGCTCGGTGACCAGCAGTATCAGCCTGAGAGCTTATTAGAGATGTAGCATCTCAGCCTCCACCGCTGGCCTCCAGAATCAGAATCTGCATTTTACTAAGGCGATTCAAATGCACATTACAGTTTGAGAAGCACTAAGCTATATGTCACTGGTCATAGCATAAATTCCTTAGCTGATGTCTAAGGTTAAGAAATCAAGAAATCAAGAATTCACTGTACAAGATGAAAATTAGTATGTAGCTGACTGCCAGTGAACCAAAAAAAATTTGTTTTTAAAAAAAGGTTGCCTTGTGGAAATAGGTTGGGGTCGGTGAACAAGTATTAGTTTTCTTCATAAATGTTCATCCCTCCCTGCCTTCTTGGTTCCTGTGTGCCTATCAGGCAAGCAGTACAATACAGCACAGGGGTTAGTAGCTAAGATTCTAAAGCCAGATTGCCTAATTTCAAATTCCAAGCCCACCACTTAGAAGCTGTGCAATCTTGGGCAAATTACTTAACTGTTCTGTGCCTCAGTTTACTCACCTGTTAAATTAGAATAAAAACAGTCCCAATAGCATATTGAGCTTTTGCGATTATTAAACAAGTTAATTTATGTGAAAGAGCTCAGAGCAGTACCTGGCACATAGTAAAACCTCATGTTACTTTAGTATTACTTGCTATTACATATCACTTTGATAAAGTTTTTAATAAAGGAGAAAACCAATACTGCAGTGTTGGCATGGACAGACCTCTGTAGACTGATCTAATATTCTCTCCCATTTTTAGAAGAGAGAATACATGCAGACATGATTTCTTTTGAAAACGCCTGTAGCAATATTTAGGTTAAATGTTAATTGGGAAATATTCATTTGCAAATGGGCCATCCAATTAGTAAGGCAGTTTTGAATGGACAAGAATCAGTGATAAAACTTATGCACAATTGAAATAATTACCAGGAAGAACTACTTTACCAGGCCTGTTAATAGTTTTCCTCCTGGACACTAACTTGAAATTTAGTGGAGGAACATAATTAATCAAAACTTTAGACAACATTAAAGGAAATAAGTGTAAGAGGAAGAACATTATGTAAGAACAGCTTATTATTTGTTATTTATACCTGAGACAGACACTTTCCAATATATCTGAGGGAATATTCAGTGTAAACTTTTGGATTAAGACTCTTGCTAAAACAAAGTTTTGAAATTCCAATGGACTTATCTCAGATTCACTTCTAGATCCTGTGCAATTAATATTTCTTAGCTGATGAAGTTATTTGGGGTGTTTTAGCTTACATCATCAGTAAGGAGCTCTAGTCATTTCAAAATTACAACAATAGAATTAATGTCATATTTCTGAACATTTCTCCAAAACCCCACGTTTTCTCTGGATTTGGGGCCATTTGACCAACAATTTAATTGCCTCAAAAATTGAAGCAGGCATTGGATGTCACAAATTTTGAATTCACCTTCCAGAGACCCCATTTGATGGAAGGAAGTCTTGGCAGCATTGATCATCACAGAGAACTTTTGCTCAATGCTGTGCTTATTCCTTTAGTGACTCAAGTGCACATTTTTAGTGATTCAAGTGCACATTTTCATTTTCCAACAGGGTAGCAGGTTTAAAATGA